GAAACTTTAAAATTCTTATTAATATTAGTTTATATAGAAATTTCGCTACGTAAAAGCAATCCCCCGATATACTCTGAAGTAATCAATTTTTATCGCTTACGCGCGTTTCATATAGCCGCCCTAAGGCTGGGTCATCAGCGAAGTAAATCGGTAGCAAAGGTTTCCGAGGATGGATATGAAGAAGTTCTGATTCCACGAGGATATAGCTGATGAAATGCCATCAGTTACCTGACAATTGACCTATCAGTTTCGATCCCGCATGGCTCGTCTCCAGCAACCTCACAAGCTACTCCTGCGGTAACCCAGACTTCCTATACTCCTTCCCCAGAATAAAAGCCATAATTTCCGACCCAAGACTGCATTTCGTCTGTTTTCAATATCCAGTAGAGGTACCATTTGCCTGGTTTCCCTTTCTTGTCTTTAAAGCATTCTTATCGTCTGTTGGGTTGGTAAGGAAAAGATGGCGCAGATTCAGGTGGTGATCTACCATGCTTCTTGCCGAGTACTAGCGCGAGCACAAGGCTACCGTCGTATCAGCAAACATTACCTGTGAGCTCCAAGGCACAACTTTTCTTTATTTAGTACTTTCCACCTCGGCGGTTAATCATTGGACAACGCAAGCATCTTGGCACTATGCTGTGACAGGTGTTCCCAGGCGTAGCCATCATATGGTGGCTTTTGATAGCGTATATACACATTATATTAACCACCCACTGGCGACGTTTGATTCTTATTAAACTCACGAGCGCACTATCTTGGTATAAGTGTCTAATATTTGTCTTTGTTCTGCTGATTTTCTGAATTTTGTTCAAGAATACTGCTCTACTTGCGATAACTGACAGTTTGTAATAGTCATGGCCCAAAACACCAGCTGTATCCAGATGCACTCATGCGCGGATAGCCCTCTGTCAATAGCCGGGAATATTGTTGGGATTTTATCCCTGGCATACGCGATTATTATCACCTCAATCTACATCAGCCATCAGTTACTGGAAGCCATGTCTGATTTGCGTGATTACATGAACAGGTTTGAGGTTGATTTTGAGTCCTTGAGATCAGCCTCAGATAGGCTGGCACCTTATGTGGACAGACTCCCAGAGCCTTTGATAGAAACGGTGTGCTTAGCTGTTCAAGAAGCTCAATGTTTCTGCGCAGAATATGACCACGAGCTAAGGTCCCTTGAGGATCTACTTTCACAACCAAAAAGACAACTCATTTATAGGAGTCTGTTTGTCACAAAGAAGAAGGACCTAGCTGAGAAACTTGAAAGAGCTATACAAATGAGAATCAAATTAGACGGAATCTACAATACTGTCATACAAAGGTTGGTACTAGCCACTGCGAATTGGGAAATCTGTTTCTATGATAATAAAAAAACTAAAGCTGTGTGTTGATTATAGCATCATCTTGAATGAAGTCGATATTCTGAATCAACGCCAGTTGGAAATGTTACACTACCAACGGTCTTTGCTTGGTATGGCTACCAATGGGCCCCGCCCGCCTTCTCCAGATATGACGGTAGAAAGGGAGGGAGCACACAGCTTGATTAATGGGGCCAAATCACTCACCATCCTCCATGATTACCTGCGTCCACCGACTCAGTGGGACCCTCCTGGTCCACGAGACGCGCACACCTGCTTAACAAACAAGACCAAGCTTGAAGGTAGTACAGATATTACGCCAAGTGGTGATTGATTTTGCTGTGTGGGAAAATATAGACAGTGGAGCAAATATATCTGCCCTGTTAAGTTACAACCTGCGCAGCTCATGCCAGGGAAGGGTTATGGAGTCGAACACTGACCCTTTGGCGTGTGAAGAGTCATTTTGCCAGGTGTTCATACACTCTCAACCCCCCATATATTGCCTATCATAGAAGGATAAGCTGGTAAAGAGATTGACATTCTCAGAACCATTCAGTTCTTGACCCTTAACGCGTAGCACATAAGAGGTCTCCTTATTAAATTAGACAGGGAGTGAGGTACTGGAGATCTCGGTGCAGCCAGCTGGTTGAGTTATGTTTGAGGAAGATTGGGGCCTGGGGTTAGATGGAATTGAAGTGACGAAAGCGTGGGAAATGCTCTATCACGAGAGTTTGGATTGGAGGCGTATATGGGTTGCTCTTGGCCTGGCCTTTTTCCTACCAAGTTTGCTGTACGGGATCCAGTGTACAATTGTGATGCAGGCGATTCTGATATCCGAGGCAGGAGCAGTCGAGTCTCCAGCATGGATATGCTTTTGAGGTCTCGTGCATCCTATAGGGTTTAGACTGGCCAATATTGTGCCGGTACTTTGATGTCGAGATGGTCTCCACATTTGTCGTCAAGCAGTTTATCCATGGGGCTCGGTAGTACTTTTATGGTGAGTACTTGCAGATACACCCGTTGTAATGAGAACGGTAATTGATTCCGCCTCTTTCTTTCTGAGTGGATATCTCTTGCAACGCTTTGTGATAGTTGCAATTGTCTCGTTGACGCTTTGGACATATCTTCGGATGTTTCTTCCATTTGTCAACATGTTATTTCCGGGATTTGCTCTGGAATCAACAGTCGGTGTTCCAGTGGATGCATTCACCATAGATGAAGATGTTATCGTTTTTAGAAGTCATCCATCGGCCGGGCACGCTCCAAACGACGCCCCCCCTAACAAATCAGTTGCGAACGGTGGTAGAAGCAGCGTCCGATTATGATGGCTGGGCTAGGATCTCTACCATCGGTCGCCTCCTCACAAAAAGTTGTCCTGACTTCGGCTCTCGTACCTACGGATACCAGAAGCTCAGCGATCTCATTGCTGCCTCCCCTTTGTTTGAAACTACCCGCCGCTCCCTACCAAATGACTTCACAGAGATCTTCGTACGTGACAAGCGTAGGGAGCCTGAAGAGTAGCTACGTAAACAGGCGTATATGTAATATCGTTTCTCTACCTATTTGCCCGATCTGGAGAATCAGGGTAAAGTTTTTTGTGGCATTTAGTTCATACGCCGGGATCTCCGACCAAAAAACATATGTATTATGGAAAAAGGCCCGCAGCAAATAAAGAAATGTAAACTAAGTGGTAGCAAGACCTTTAATTCCTTGTTCTTCTCTGAAATATGTCGCTCTGTCACTTGAAGGATGGGGTGGTGATGCTGGCGACGGATTTGGTAATGGGTTCCCCTGGGCGCTGGTAGCGCGGTGTTTGGGGGTGGCCGTACTGCGCAAGCTTGTGGTTAATGATGGGGCTGTTCTCCAAGAAAGGCTGGGGTGATGGATAAAGGTAGGATCAATCAATTTGGCTCCAGTGCGAGCCGGAGTGGGGCTGTCTGCAAGAGGAACGGCGGGTTGGGCCATTATAAAAATGATATCCCGGCTGTTATTGACCTTTCCAACAAGAAGACGCGAGCATTTGTCCATTCTATAGCACATGTCCCTGGTGGCTTGTTTCCCTGCTTGCCCACCTTGTCGCCAAGCGGTGATCGATCCACGTTCTTATCGGCCATAGAGCCCACTTCAGTGTCACTGGAAGAGGAAGCAAGAGCGGTGGCGACCGCGTTGAAGCTCGTCCCGACATCTGAGGGGTAGGTGCAGGGCAACGCGGCCAACTTTTCGAGAAAGGGAATCAGGACGTTGATGTACTCCTCCGAATATGAGAATTCCGCATCTAGCAGTATCGCCTCAATACTGTCGAGGGGCATGGCATCTAGATATAATGTCGTTCCATCGCGAGAGATCGTAGGCGAAGGGACTACTGCCTGTGGTTGCCCTAATGTGCCGGCTGCAAAGACCGTGCCGCCGCCGCCTGCTGCTGCTGGGGCGGTGGCTAGGTTGCTGCTTACACGAGACTGTGGATTTGATGTCAGTTGAGAATTTGGTGTGCAGATAGGGGTTAGTCATAGAACAGAGAACGAGATGAGTGAACTGATAGGGTACTTACTGTCCAAGAACCCAAGGCCGGAGCCCAAGAGGAGAGATCAGGAGTTCTACTAGGCCTGACTTTGAGCAGCGCATTGAGATGATCCTTAGGCTCCCGCGGACGAGCCGCAATGGACAGCAGGTCGAGACTGTGTGGTTCGTTCTGGGAAAGAAGACAGGCCGCGAGGTTGACTAGGACCTCAGCTTCGCTGGCCTTATAATCAACCGCGATGATGCGCCATAGTCCGTTTGGAAGGGGCACCGATGATACTGATGCCCCTCCCAATGGTGCTGGGCGTTCTACGATGTCTTGATTGCTAGTGTGAGCACAGGTGCCAGGCCGGGGTGGCAATGGAGGAGGGCGAAGGTCAGAATTAGCGTACTCTCCTGGCTGAAGACGCAGCTTATCTATTCTTAATGACGCGGGATGAATCAAAGACAGGCCGCCAAATACAAAATCTCTAGAGTCGGTAGCATTGTGGCCCCTGCAGGTCAGAAGCCATTCGCGGAGGGTTAGCTTGCGGCCCTGGGTAATGGTTTCGCGAGCCAGCAGCACGCTGGGGAAGTCACAGGTGTGGGAAAACCATCGCGGCATGATGTATGCCCTAGCAATGTCCCAGGACTCCTTCGCCGGCTTGACTGCCTTTCCAGGGTTTTGATAAGCCCATATAAACGCGGTCAGCAGGGCCTGGAGGCTAACTTGATGCTTGCCGTAGAGGAAGACAAGTTCTTTCGCTAAGAAGAATTCTTGCAGTACCCAGATGCGCTTGAACCAATGCCGATTGCTTAGATCGAATGCAGCCATCGCTGGCGCTGATATGAAAGACCAGTCGTCCTTGAAGAGACTAAAGAGACCCGAGGATGCGGCAGCAGTAGACGTTTTATCTTCAGGAAATAAATCGAACGGCGGTAGTTCGCTTGGAGGCTTCCGTGCCAATGCTTCTAGCTCAGGAAGGCCCCGGGCTAGACTTGATGAGCAGTTACCGAGCCAAACAAGGACAAGATCCGCCGATTGGTATATCCTGCCCATCATTCGGACCTGGGCATTTCTTTCTGTCAAATCGCTATTTAGCTGGTCAGTCACTGCCCTGTTGACTTTTTCTTTAAACACGACAGAGATGAATCCGGGTACCTTTGGTTCATGCATACCGCATCAATCCAATACTCCCCATTCCCAGGCCGAGTCTGTCGAAAAGATAGTAGAGCGTCATAGAGGTTCGAAGTCACGCCCAGTCTTTTGCCATTGCACAGGATGGTCTTGGTAGTGCGCACCTGTTCTTCAGCCCCTGTGTAATGCAAGTCATACTCTTCCCTTCGATACGCCGCTTTCACCATGTCCACTGCCATGGTGGTACCGATACGCAGGTATGAGTGCTGTTTCCTCCAGGTGTACGAAAGAGCCGTGTATTTGGGGTTGTCGTCAAGGCTGACGGCTCGTATCGAGCAGGATATCTCATCGTTCGGCCTTCCAGGCTGGAGTCTCAGTAGACGAATGTGGGATGGGCCGGGCAAGGGCTGGTATTGAAAACTATCATCCGCCAACCACTTCTCCGAGGATTAGAATCTCATATCCATCTGTGGGTGGAAAACATCCTGAGGCTAAAGATAGGTTCGCATACCGTGTGTAGTAGTTCTTTTGAGGTCCTTTGAAGATAATTTGTGGCGCTGGAGCTTGAACTGGTTTCCATACTGTACCTAACTTTGAATTGCTTTCGTCGGTGTTCACCTAAGCTGAGAAGCAGGAGACAAAATAATTATCCTTGGACCTTTCCTGTCTTTATATTTGAAGGCTTCTGTGAGTAAATAGTAAGCTGGAGATAAATGGAGCAATGAGGCACTGCCCCAACATCCAAGCATGCAGCATCGTCGCTTGTCAGCCGCGCAACATCTGCATTGCTCAGGTCTACATAGCCACGCCATTGTAGATTTATATGAAGTATTTAAGTAGTAAAGTACCTAGATATTCTAAGAAGATCAAACGCACTCAGTGCTCGGACCCCCTCTTGGCAGCATTTGGCGTCATCTGAATGTCGATCTCGCTGTTGATTTGATCTCCAGCTGCAGCAAGGTCCTTTACGGCTGGCTATTAGGACCACTGCCGAACTTCTGCTTCTATCTATACCGTATACTTAATAGCAGTAATATGCATGATACTTACTAATTTTGTCTTGGTACAAACTTAATGAATAATAGAAGCATACTGGAGATATATAGATATCAGCAGATCACCAGTGGGGGTTATATAAGCTGACTCTGCACGATATCTACAATGGAGCTTGCAAGTTAGGGCACAATGGATATCTTCATTATACCATCGTTCACTCGAGCTTTAGAGTAGTGCGGTTCAGTTTATCTCTAACAGGTATTTGTATTGTTTAATATCTAGACTTGTGTTTTCCCAACTATCATACCAATTCAGGAAAAGAAAAGGTTCAAGGTGAAGATCAATCCAGTGTTAATCAAGATCTACTATGCAACGTAGTCACCACCTCCACCTATATTCACTCACTCTGCACATAACGTGATCAAGCATGTATGATTCACTGAGAAAACGAAAACATTACGTTCTTTATTCAGAAAAACAAGGGCAATGTCTTTGTTGATCCCGGTCCTGTTTCCGATGGTTTGTAGTGAATAGGGTTACCTTTGATCAGGACACCACAAGAATACCTTTTGTAGAAATACAAATCACAAAGAAAAAGAAGATTGATCACTGAACATCATCTGTCCATTCTATAAAACTCAAGCTTACCGCCTTCTTCAGCTCCTTGTGTTGCAAGTATCTCAACCACAGCGGTCTTCAACTGATCAACACCACCACCAGCCTCTTAGACTGACAACACCGCATCCACCACAACAACCTCACACCAAACCTGGAGACACAAACCCCATCTTCCTTACAAGCCAAAGAAACCCTCAAGTCAAGATGACAACCCCCGACCTAAAAGCGCTCTACGACAAGGAAAGCGAGCTCAACGCGCAGTGGGAGCGCGACATCCACGAAGCCCGCAAAAAGTACTACGAGCACAACCAGGCCTTCTACCAGCGTCGCGCGGAGCTGGCCACCGGCTGGAGCGGCGACACGCAGACACACCACGCCCCCATCGCCGACTTCTGGCTCACAGCCCTGCGCAAGGAGCACGGGACGCGCAAGCTCGTCACGAAGCCCGATCTCGGCCCGCTGAAGTCCCTCATCGACATCCGCATCGAGTGGCTGGAGGGCTTCGACTATGTGCTTATGTTCCACTTCGCTCCCAACGAGTACTTCACCAACCGGGTGATGCGCAAGGAGTTCTACTACGAGAAGACGGCCGCGTCGACTGGGGAACCCTCGCCGCTGGAGATAAGGGGGGATCGGATTCACTGGAAGAAGAATCATATCTTGCAGGCGGAATGTCATGCGCGCATTGGGACGAGGTCGTTCTTTGCCTTTGTGTCGAGGTCGCTGGCGTATGGGGATGCGCAGACCGCGGAGGAGGACACGGTGGAGGATGCGAGGATGGTGGAGGACTTTGAGATGGGGGAGGCTATTAGGGATTGCGTACAGCCTTACGCGATGGACTTTAATTCTAAAGTGTTTGGTGTGGAGGGGAATAGGGAGAGCGAGGAGGAAGAGAATGCTGATGAAGATGAGGAGGAAGGTGACGATATGGATTGGTAGATGTTGGTGGTGTCTTCAAGTTTGGCGCAGGTGAGCTGGGCTGGAAGAGAGCTAGAGTTGTAAATCATATTGGACGGTGGTGATATTAGTCTGGAGTACATCTAGATGGTTGTCAACATGTCATGATCTTTCTGGCTCTATTTAGCCACAAAATAATCCTGGGATAGTACAGTGTCGTCTACGTGCGCAGCAAATGAGATAGTAATCAATGTACTAGAATATTGTGCTTATCCAGTAAGCAAAACAATAACTAATGTTCCCTATTGAAGAGAGGAGAATGAAGTGATCAAATGATCCCAACCATCCAAAAACATCGCAGATATTTCTTGAGCCATGGTTGGGCTTAGAGCCAAAGGATATCGTCCATAACCAGTGCCTGCATGGTCCATCAAACGAAAGCCAAATGATATGAATGCCCCATTCGAAAGTAGTTCGTATCTTTGCCACAGCTTTAGACGTATCATTTGAAGGCGAGGTTCCACTACTTCAGGCACTTTGGACGGACCCAAGGTGTTGATCCAGGGTACCACTTGAGGCACTTTCCATTACAACACATCCATTGATGTTCTCCACTCACTCCGCAATCCCACCACTGTTTGCAGGCCGTCTCTGTCTGTTCACCCTGGGTACCGGACTCATCACTAGCCTTGTCATCAGGCTGATCTTCCGGCGAGCGATAGCGTCTCTTCTCATGCTGCGTCTCACTGCGGTCGTCGACGGCGGGTTCAGTCTCACCCGGGGTTTCCGGGGTTTCCTTGTCGTCCGTGGTGGCTTCAGGATCTTGAACTGGGGGCTTCGGGGGAACCCGTCTGCAGTCATAAACACTTTGACAGTAGCCGTTGCAGCAGAGGTCTCCAGGACGACAGTCTGTAGCCCAAGTGCAAGTCTGAGCATTGCCGGCGACCTCAGGTTTGGGCGGAACGTGCTTGCAATCTCCAGTTCTGTGACAGCGACCCTTGCAACAGAGCTGCTGCTTGGGGCAATCCCAGTCCCACTTGCAGACGACAGCTAGAGTGGCCGCGGATTCGTTCGATATGAGTTCGGCGTTATTATTGGCGGTAGGGATGGACGCCACCAGGGCAGCGTAGAAGAGGAGAAGTACGTTGAGGAGCTGCATGGTGGTCCGAGAGGATCTCTTTTTGTCAAGTGTATTTAGCGAGGGAATGACGAGAAAATCGGATGATAGGGTTATAGAAAGTAAAGGAGCGACGATTGAGAAGTATGGATCAGATAGACTATGGTAAAGAGGGACTAGATAATGAAAAATATTGATGCCATTTCACCAGAGCCAGCTGGTATGTGAATAGAAACTGGTACGTGAATATCAATTTTCCCCCTCAGAGGAATATTAGGGGAAGGATTGAACATCCTCTATAGGAATTCGATCACGACGACTCGGTTCACATCCCTGAAAGCCTGTCCTTCACTCTGAAGCACCGGGTCAGAGCCGAGATGGACGGCATTCATAGTAAGCTAACGCCTGTACCATGTATGACCGGTGCAGTCAGCCCAATCATGGGGCTGCTGTTCCGTTGTGAATTGTAAATGTATACACTCGGAGCCTCGCTCTAGCCTGATAGACAAGGGTTGTTCAACGGCGCCACAGCGAGTTTAATTAGGGAGCACAAAGGGCACCAATGAGCGGGTCAGTGGGACGGTCGACTCATCCTCCTGCAATTTTATTCTTTGTTTCCCCAGTCACGACTTGCCGTATGGCGTTGTCGATTCCCTGCTTCAAGTGAAGATCGCAAGGCCACAGAGCTCATCTCCGATGCGTCCATCCCTCTAGCCTTGAAGCCGTGTGGTGCTGTACAACAATACTCCGGATGGGGGAAATCAATTAATATTGAAAGCCATGGCGACAAAGTCACTTTTATGGTCAATGGCCTTTGAAGTTTTCTTTATTTTCCATTCCTTTGGTGTATTTGCATACTATTATTGATCTATTTCTTGATCTTTGCAAGACTTGACCGAATGAATAGCGCATGTATCTTGCCCCACCTGCAGACCTGTTCCACGACTGGCGCTGATTAAGCTATTTGGATCTGATTTGTTGACGGCTTGGAATTCTCTCAGAAGAGGACAGCTGGAAAGAGGATTGCGGTTTTAATGGTTTCGTGACGATTTGATGGTGATGAACGAGATGGGATGAAAGAGTTGGCTCAGTGAAGAGATACTGAGCCTGGTGGTTCCTAAGACTTAAGATAGAAATGCTACAATTTTTCTATCTGATGGGGATACTATCCAATGATATTTTTTTCAACATATGTAAAACTGTTGCAGTCTAGTTGAACTTCACCGATACGCCTTCCAGCAACCTAGCCTCCAAGCTGGTTAGCGACCGGCAGACAAGACATATCACCAAGAGCAGAGATGCATACCGTATACTTGAAAGCCTCTTTAGCGTCAGCCACATCTGACTCATTCTCATCAATACAAGACGGCGGTTCGTAGCGTCAAAGCGCGAACCATACCCTTAGCATAAGTCGACTGGCCAGATAGCACTACGAACAATGCATACATGGCTCAAGAAATCAAACAGCCCGCTGATAACTGTCAATCGCAGGAGAAGCCCTATAGTGACGACGTTCTTGCTACTGAGGTCGTTGAGGAATTTCCATCTTTGTTTTCTATAAGATGACCAAGAGGGACAAACAATCCTGACCTACTAGTTGGTTCAGGTGTAGATCGTTGAGTGAAACATAAATGAGTTCAGCTTCTTTAACCGAGGCTCGCTTTACTCAGAATCGAAGGATAGAGAACACCCGGTCGACAAGCGGTGATGTTAGCCAGATAGCAAAGAACCAGTGTACTCATTTATAGATCTATTATGATATCACCATACCTCAAGCTCGGTGTTTGCTTCGGCGTTTGGTTCAACTGTCAGGCACCGAGGGTACAATAGTCATTGGGAAAAAGCCACTATGACGTGGTGACTATATTTTCCCTGAATTTCGACATGAGAGGGAAAGTTGGCGAGTGCGATAGCCAGAATGTCATGGTTCTGTCATTGGTGGCGAATGGCCATGTCCAGTTGCAGATATACCCGGACACTCGAGAAGAATTCGAGAAAAACATCTACCTTGAAGTATATGGAATAAGAGATATAACGAAACATCATCTCAACGAGTCTACCTCAGCAATTCAATCACAACAAGCCAAATGTAGCCCTCTGAAAGGGCGCATCGCCCGCAACCAGGTACGTACCTAAACCAACCGCTCTTCCTTATCCTGAGTATCGCAAGCTGGCACAGAAGCCGATCGGCAGACAATGAAGGGGGGCGAACCCGGAGAGAATAAGGTCGGACGTGCGCCACATAAGGGGTTTTCGACTCCTTGACATATTGTAAGGTTTACTTTCAACGGTCAATTTCTAGTTGTATTTGCATATAGATAGGTAATGCTGAAAAAGCAATGGATATAGCAGTACTAGTTTAAATCATGAGGATCAGGGTTCTTGTAGCTCGATGGGGACAGTCGTGAGTAGTTCATTCAGTGCTGGTCATTCAACAGCCGTAGCTAACGCATATATGAGTCCAAGCCCAACAGAAGATCTCATTCTGCATGCATGTACTAACTAAGGGTATATGTTTGAGTAACCTCTGAGCCTCTGATTGGCTATTTGTATGCCCAATACTGCATCTGTCATAGCAGCCGGAGAGCCGGGGTTCAACTTCACTGCAACAACCGGAGGGAGTTCGGTATCCGAGCCTGGTTCAACTCCAGCCTCGGCTCGACAGGAAGTCCAACATCGCCGAGTGGCCCGAGTCCACTTCGCCTGCGATCAATCACAAAGAACTATATACAAATCCTGGAAAAATCCGTAAACGATAATATCCTAATGCTTTATTTTCTCCATAAGGCTTTGCTCAAACTATGTAGGATCATTATTGTTAACGATTTTCATACTAGGGCATACATGTCTTGAAGATTTGGAAACTGTGCTATATATTCTTCCATGAGCAGCATCGCCTACAGTATATATCCCGACGCTGAAATCTGCCAAAAGTGCCCAGAAATTTCAGAAAGAACACGAAAACATATTCACCCTTGCACACTTCTATTTTTCTACATTTTTATTTAAACTTTTACCCACGCTAGAAATTTAGAAGAGTTGTTCTAACTCAACCGCGGAGCAGACAAGTCCCCGAGGGGTTGAACCCCAAGCATTACCAACCCTTGACAAATCCCACCAATCCCGAGAAATAATCAACTAAACTATTTTAAGACCATGGGGTCTGCAAAGTAAGCAGACCATCAGAGAAGGCTAGACCCTGCCTGGATTTGAATACCTTCGTTCCATAGTATATCAACTCGATAGTTTTCGGAGATCAACCTTCTGGACAGTGTGTCGATCAACAAATGAAAAATACGAATCAAGACTTCCCGGAGACTGTTCTATTGGAGAAGAGGCAATATTATAAATACTAAATATTGGGAACTGATCGAGTCTAAACGAGGCTTGATATAACTATACTATGTCCTATACTCAATCAAAGATAGAATTGTCCAGTTGGAAATATTCCCAGTATCCTGAACGACTGACCGCAGGGACTTCAGATCGCCATCATGATATCACGACATACGGACAGAATGTGTCGCGAATGGGGTTGTAATGTTGATGTGATTGTAAACATAAAAACTGTCTACAGAGGGCTCGTGGATATGAATTGGTCATGTTTATCGGTGTTTGAATCGACTGTGTTCTAATTATATCATAATCAGTTTCTGATTTTAAACCCCATAACCCAGAAAACCCTTCACTTCAAAATGCCTCAGTACAGAAACGGCCAGAGTGTTATCTACAAGCCCGTTGGTGGCATATCTTATCCTGATGCTCAACGTTGATGCGAGTGAGGAGAACCCTAGATATGAAGTGAGTTCTATCTGGGAAGACATCTGGCTCTGACCAAGCTCTGATGTGTTTGGTGATAGATTGAGAACCAGAATACCGGAAAGACGACAACTGCTTTATGAGAGGAATATTCTTGGTCCTGCTGAGTAGATCTTTGGTGAGGGCGAACCATGTATTTCAATTATAGTACTTTTGTGTGTAGGAAGTCTTGGTAATTGGATCTATGAACATACTGCGCAGTAGAGTCGGTATCCCGATTATCTAGGCAGGCAGACTGTTGATCCTCTGTGGATAATGCCGATCATGGAGATCAACAGTCGATCACCCGAGTCATATCTATACCAAGACTTGAAAAGCCAAGTACATTAGTTCAACATGGTGACGCTTATACTTATTCCTATTATACTTAATACATGCGAATAAATATCTCCAGACTGATCGTATAATTAAATCTTCGACCATCATGGGCTGGGAGCTAACCGCAACCCCAACCCTACAAGGCAACGATACCTGCCAAAACACCCGCAACAGCCAGAACACCCGCATTCAAACCCGGCATGCTCGCCGCATTGCCAGTCGGCTTAACAGCAACCGACGACGCCGTGCTCGAAGAGCCACCCGCACCAGAAGAGGCAGAGCTCGACGAACCACCTGCACGAGAAGATGAACCAGCGGCAGAAGAGGCGGGGCGAGACGAACCACCCGCGCGAGAAGAAGAACCAGCAGCAGAAGACGAAACCTGAGTGGACAGGTAGGTGCCGCAGTAATCAGAGTACTACCGGTCTTAGTATTGGAAGTAGTGGCCGCCCCGGTAGAGGTGGCCGAGGTCTCGGAATCGGTGGCAGTGGCCGTGGCCGAGACAGCGACGTGGACGGCGCAACCTTGCCGTTGGGACCCCAGCCGGGGAGGTAGCTGGGGGTCAGGGTCTCGGTGCCGGTGTAGGCGGCGCACCCGGGCTGGTTGAGCTTGGGGGGAGCGCGACCGCCGCCACAGTCTGGGAAATCGCAGATCTCGCCGGTGTCGGGCACGTACCAGATCATGCTGGCTTCGCCCCATTGGTTGACGGTGGCAGATTTGGTGCAACCATCGAGATCGGTGCGGGCGGCAGCGAGGCTGGTGAGGGTGAGGAGGATGGGGAGAGTGATCGACTTCATTGTGGTGTATTGAGAATGAATGACTGGACGTTGGAAAGTATAGTAAAGGAGTGGTGACCGGTGGGGGTGTAGATTAAAGAGCGACGGACAGTGAGTGATTGAGTGAGTCCCCTGGAGGCGAGAAGTGGACGAGGAGAGAGGGTTGTGGCTTCTATATACTCCTGGATTTTGGTCCCTGAACTCTGGAATGCCGCTAGGAGCCTAGATCCCCCAAGTCGCAGCCTACGGAGTAACCGACTGAGTTTGTTAGCTTCATTATCAGCCCACGAATCGGTGATGCTTAACCACTCTTGGGATTGCCGTCTCAATCGGTTAATGGCATTTCTCCTGCTGGGTCCCTGGGCTAGTCTTGACTGGGTTAGGGCTAACCATGAAATCTCTCCCTCCCCGTCAATTACATTGGGCCAGAACCCCAATGGTGGAAATTAAGCACCCACTAACCATGGTCAGAGCGCAATAGTAAATCTATTATAATCTCCGGAAAACTCAGCTACTCAGCTAGTGACTGACTGCCCTTGCAGTTTGCCCCAACATGAATCTTGTACGAAGCTGTTGCCCGGCGCCCCAGCTGACCTTGTTTCTAACCATACTGGTATATAAGCCCTCAGGTTACTAGAAAGCAACCCCTTTACTTGATTAGTCTGCTACTACTCGAGTTTGAGTTGGGCCAATCCTAGAATTGCCACGACCCTTTTATCCGCTGGGACTTTGAGCTCGTGAATTCTTGGTGCGTCCACAAGTGGCGGAATGAGTAAACTTTATAGCGTTCGCATTTTGGCATTCGAGACATCACAAACAGGTTCGATCAAGATGGATCAAACGGATCCAGGAAGACGGCCATAACCTTTGAGAGCTCTTGGAAAGGATTTCAAGTGATCAAGAAGATCAAGATGTCCCGTAAAATAAGCGAAGAGGAATGACTGGCACTAACACGGCAGAAAGCAAGAGATGTCGAACTCGGGAATCTCTATAGGACAAGGCATTATTGTTTCGTTTGGTAAAGTCTTTGAAAGTCTTCAAATATCACATTATCTCGGCCAAACAGAGAGGATTGTCAGCTAAGCTAAAGGGACATACCGAAAGTATTAGTCGTACAGAAAAGTCTCAACAGGCAGTGCGGATTTTAAGTTTCAAAGGGGGCTATGTCAACATCATAACATTTCGGATTCTGATGCTGCTTATTACTTCGTTGATTCATTAATTCAGGCATGCGCATCGCCACCAGACCATTTCATGTCCATATAAACGTAGTACCAAAGGCAACAGGAACAAAAGTAATCATTGTACTTAGACAGGAGGCACATCGGTCGCAGAAGATTTGCGGCGTTCCTTCTGGACATATGTCGTGTCTAAAGTCTTAGCGGTGAGCCTGTCTTTCTGCTTCCTCGAGTAGAAGTCGTAATCTCGCGATTTCTTGGTCCATCACGGACATAGGGAGTTGGGCATATAACTCGGAAGGAGTGAAAAGGCAAAAATGCTTACAGAAGGTAACGAGGCGCTCAAGGATGAGAGGGTATACGTGAAACTGCATGGAACCACCCTGGCTACCGATTACTAATCATCCTTACCTCTGTATTCCATGTTTTGAAACATCAACGCCCGTTTGATATATCAGTAGAAGAGAAGTTTAAATCCATAGAAGTTCATATTCTATTCCATAAAATACACCGTAATTTGTTTTCCCTTGATAAATAAAGATTGCTGGGATCCCTAACTAGCTAGTTCGTCAACTATGTACATTGTACTCATTGTGCCGTTGTTTCGCTTTTAGGTTGGAAGTCCTAATCCACAACGCCCGAAGGTGCGATGCTATCTCTATGATATTAATACATCGGTACCCACTATGACCCATTCGATGAGAACAAAAGAAATACAATCTCTTTCTCAGATGGCAGCTCGCAATCTCCCTCCACCGTCTCAACCAGGCCAATTGGCTCATCACATGATCAACGTCCCTTGTCAAGACGCGTCCAGTCTAATGACAGTACCACATTTTCTGAATCAACCAGGGAACAAGTGATGAACTTCGATAATAGTGATTTATGCTGACACTGTGGCGCAACCCCTACGGATATATGTTTTGTTATTACCAAGGTAGATCATGAGGTTTGTAACTCCCTTTCCACCTCTTCTATTCCTCTTTTCCACATGCACTGATTAACTATATTGTATTAGTTTGAGGCGTACAAGTCCCTTGGTCTAATTAACATCGATTCGCCATCCCATGTGGACAATGGCATCCCTCTGTGTGCTCTTTGTCACCGAAATTTCGATGATTTATACAACCCAGACTTTTATATTTTCCCTACTGATCTCGACTACTTTAAGGAATATAAGGACACAGGACATAGCGCGCAGGTTAGAGCACTATAACCGGCATCGAACACTGCTAAAACGGACTTGTCCTTTATCGGAAGATTATCGACAATATCAGCTACGTAACAATCTCCTCGGACCAGACGACCATGGCGGAATCTGTTAGAGGTACTCTCCAATGGTTTCCTTTAAACGGAGAGATGGCTTCAATCAAAGAAGCCAGAACGATAAGAAAAGAAGCTCGTGATAAACCGAGCCTTGCCCTACACCCCTGTTGTGCTGAGACATATCCCATTCGCAAACTTCTGATGTACGGGCCACATTTCTCTATAACCGGAAGTTTACCACCAAATAAAAGGGGCAAACTAGAGAAGAGGCAGCCGAGAGGTGAGGACCGGCAGTTTGTTTCCTCCGACTACATGGTATGGTGATGATGCCGGTGGTATCCAACAATGTATTGGCTCAATACCTTGGTGAGGTAGTAATGGCATGGAGAGCAAACCGGGATCTTTTGAAGCAAGAGTAAGGCTCTTGTCCCTGAGCTACTGATCATCCCCACTTACATAGTTCATACTGGCAGTGTTTTCCTCATCGCTGAAATAAGCACCTTCATGCGATTCATCCACTCTAAATTCGGTGCCGACTATGAGAAATACCTCGATACAGCAAGCGATGCAACCCAGAGAGCCGTGATCAACCATGAGGGCAGCGACGTGTTTCTCTATATGCATAGAACCCAATGGTTTAGCCTTCAGTCACCCGAAGGGAGAAAATCCACTCTATGCCATATTCTGGCCCTAATCAGGTGGCAAGTGAATCACGATGCTCTGGTTTTCGAAGCCACCCATGATTCGTCTGAGGAAGATATCAGCGACACCTCCACTGGTGACGATGATTGGATTCGTGCAAGTTCTACATTTCGGGTAGAGAGACAGGAGTATAAGACAATGGACAAACATACTCCCAACAATTGCCCAGGGGGCTTGATGGAACTCTCAATACCTTGTATTGTATTGCTAAATGCACCTATTGAATAAACAGCTGCATGAGATACTGATGAATAAGCAATTAATTCTTTAATATCTCTTATTCTTAATGTACTAAAACTGGCATATAAAAACCTTCAGCATAAACTACTAATGAAGGATCCATAACCTCATCCATTAAATACAATAATTTCAATGAAGGGAATGCGATTAATATTAAAATAAGCGCGGGTGTAATTGTTCGAATTAATTCTATTAATGTACCATGGGTTAAATATTTATGTGCTATAGGAGATTTTGTAGCTACAAAATTTCAGCTTTCGAAACAAATCCCACCCTGTAGAGGTCCAGCTGCTTCTACCGCCTCCTGCTTCATGAAGGCACTCATAGGAGCGGCCAGTGTAGTCAATCCGATGTCTGTATCTGGCAGCTGTGCTCCGCACCCGCTGGTAGAGATCGTGGGGTGGTTGCCCATCTAGGTGCATATAGACGTACCAGCCCACACGACTGCATCTTCGTTCAGTAGGATCGCCTCTGACGCCAACTTGACTAATGCCCTTCCTTTGTGGCGAAGGAACATGGTGCCCTGGAGCGTCTGCTTCTGTCAGCACGTCATTTAGCTCGCGGGATGACACCTACTGGCAAGATGATATGTGCCAGCTGCGGCTCAGTGACGGGCGCCTGCGGGTCCGAAATATCCTTCACTGAGGGCTCGACTGGCCCCTACACCAAGAAAGGCTGGTCCGCATGGTAATAGGTGACTATTAACTTAAGAAAACTGTCGTGTGACAGCCGCTCGACTGTTTTCAGGAGAGATCGCATGCTAGTCTGGCTTCTACCTTTTTGCGGCATCCCAAGGTGATTCAGGAGGGCCCTTTCCCTAACCACAAGTCTGGCGACAGGATTGAACCAAATCGTACGACAAGTACGGATCTCATCCGTAGCTGGACTGGAAGAGGTGGGCTTTAAGGACAAACCTCTACCCGGCCCTATATGTATATGGGTTTTTAGCACGTGGAGAATGCCCTATATAAGCGTCCCAATCCGACCTGGGATTTGAAGTCATGCTCAGTCTTGCACGGAGCTGGGTTTGTTGCTGTAGGGCAAAATAGCAGTTGATTAAGGTAGACATGCAATCAGTATACTGTCTACGCCTAATTGACCGCCAAAGCTCGCTGACTCAAGACCAGGGAGCCTTCCCATTCCCGAGGCGGATGACTGTTTATGCCCAGTAATATGATCCATCACGTCTCCTAACTAGTGCAGTATTGTCATAGGATCATAATATCCTTGCGGTGTGTTCTATGGCCTTTTGGACTAGCAAGAAAAACAATAGCCCTGATAATATTCTCAAATTATTTCATGAGCTTCTTTGCAATTAAATAGTTGTGAGTAACAGTGTTCTGCAGAAGGAAAAGAAAGACAGAGCCCAGCGTTGCCACAACAACTCTGGCAAGAAACACGAAATTCAACAGTATAAATATCTTGGAGATGAATACAAGATGACCTGATATCGAATACGACTGTTTGAGGGACTTCCATCCGCCTTTATTTCTTTCTTTCGTTCTTTCGTTGATTCGTTCATTCATTCATTCTGCCTTTCCGCCTTTCTTTCTTTTTTCTTTTTCTTTTTTGCTCTCTCTGTTTCCGATGAAGCTTCCTGAGGTATTCAGTCTAGTGAGGTCAATGATTCATGATTGTTCCTATTCAAGAAAGTTAGAGTAGTTCAGATGTACATATATTGGATGTGGGTTTGACATGCTAATAATCCTTTCAAGGCGCCAATTCTGAAAGATAGAGACCACCCCCAGGGCGATCGCAATCAGGGAGAACGCAATTGTCAAAGCGAGTTCCAAAGACATTTTCTCAGCGAGAGAATACTTCTTTACCGTTTGGCTGCATCGTACTGTTAACATATGTACAGTAGTTGCTACTCAAGTAAGTTGTACTTACTAAACTCAAATAGGTCTTTGTAGATGATACCCAGAGCTCTCTCTTTGATAACTATATTTTTACGGAGAACAACTCCGAGGGTAGCCAGTAGGAATTATATAACTCACCATGTTGTGCCAGTGCAATCGGTTGAACTGTGCTAGGTACGATACTAAGCTTTGCTTGCCGGTGCCAGTGCTTTGAGCTATTCCTCTGGCGAGCGTCGTTGTTGTGGTGTCTCGAGAAACGATAACCGCCTTTGAGAGTGTAACTTCATTTGTAAATGAGTCAACACAGCCACAATTAATTGACGGAAGTAATTGGCTCGGTCTTGCTGTACGCTCTGTTGTCGCAAGTGCCAGTGCTGTCCTCTGACCCATGGATCGAGCGGCACATGACTCAGGGCCGTAGACCGATTACACCGTGTACAGGCAGTGTTCTAGAACATTAAATCGGACTTACTACAATTGGCTAGTATAATATTGCGTTGGTGTTGGTAAAAGGCGGTCATATTTTACCTGGTCCGCAACCTCGACTTCGTCCACTGTACGCCTATAAAACTTCCACCTCCATCAAAGTCAACCTCAACCTCATAAAGTATTTCTCTAATGGCTACCGAAGACAAGTACAAACATCCGTGTCCTGTTTGTTTGAAGAAGTTCACTCGCGCTTTCACGCTCCAGAATCATCTTAATAGCCATAACAACAAAAGACCGTACTCCTGCACGTATTGTCTCAAGACTTTCACAAGGAACCATGATCGAAGGGTCCACGAAAAGGAGATTCATTCTCCATGCCCTGCCAGCTATCCTTGTCGAATAACCCTAGAAAGCGGAGAGGTCTGGGGCTGCGTAAAGACCTTTTCGTCCAGCAGATCACTATGCCGCCATTTGCGTAGCAGTGGTGGAAACGAATGTAGGCCACGTCCACTAAGTAACTTAGATCCAACCATTACGGAACCCTCCTACATGGCTGAGCCCTCTCAAGAATTCCTACCAGTCGGCACGAGCCCTATGGCGCCTTCAGTGGCAGAAGTTGTACTCGCGAAAAATCCTTCATCTGCTTACTGGGATCAACTCTACGTAAATCGCGTTCCTAGTTTTGCAAAGCTCATCCTAAATCACTCAGAATCCGTGCACAATACAGAGGTCATCTTATTCCATATCCGAGACTATTTCCAATGGCATTTTCAACAGAGGGACTCTTCGGATTCTCGAAACTCGCCTTCAGTCAATGTACCTTCACGGCATATAGATTCGCACGTGGAAAAGAATGCGTACGACCTGACCGGGACTTTAACGCACGCTGTTGATCAACTGGTTAAAAAGGTCCCGCAGCAACCGTGGGGGTTGTTGGAGAAGGCCTGCGAAATGGCCAGAGCTGTTTTTCGTCAACAGGAGCAGGATCTCATCCGAGTCCTTCTTTTGCTCTTCGCAGACCAACGGTGGCGCGACTTTTCTATTTTGTGGCGTCACCTTCTTGAATATCTTGCATCAGTAGCCGATCAGGTTTTAGGGATTTCCCACCCCTTAACTGTGATCTTACGATTGCTTCCCACCTGCAACACACTTATCAATTCTACCGAACCGGCCCTGGAGCTCATGCTCGGCATGGTTATTGAGTGTCCCGACAGTACGCCTAGCGATATTTGCCGGTATCAGTGGGCTTTGAGCGATCTGCTCAGAACACAGCAAAAGTTTTCTGCTGCTGCTGATATATGCCAGAACATGATAAGGGAAAGCAGCAAGACGAACGGGTATAATCATAAAAATACCCGCATCAGCATGCGTAGACTCGGACACATCTATTTTGAGCAGGGCCGTTACGACGAGGCAGAAAATGCCCTTTTGAACGCCCTCTCATTCGGCATCTCTGAACACGGACCGGATCAGCCCGATATCTGCGACATATACGCAAGCGACCGTCTGGCATTTGTTTACCTTGCAAAGGCGCAGTATAGTCTATGTGAATACTATTGGCGGCAAGCACTTAAGTGGACTCAAAAGAGGTGGCCTGGCGACGACCTCAATTCCATGGCTTTCTCACAAGAGCTTGATAACGTTCTTGCTCTGAAACACAAACATGATACCCAAACACAAGAATGATATTCGATTTACGTACCATATATTGTAATTTTATTTTTTTTTTGACTTGACTTGACTTGACCGGCTCATCGATTCAGGCTACATTATGTCTTCTATATCGGATCCGCAGATCAGATATGGCCTTTGGCTACGTATGAAATGGATTTTAGATAATAAATATAGAGACTATAGTATTCTTTACCCGTAATTAATTGAGGGGCAGGCTTAGCTCTGTATGTTTTGATTACTCTGCTGTTTAAAGTGCAGTTAGCTTTGGGAGCTAGCTGAGCGACTATGGATTGCTCTGGGATTATTCCTAGAACCGTTCTGATACATATGAGATGCAACGTGGGTCATCACTCTTGCTTGATCATAACAACGTGAAATTATAGAATCGAGGTATAGCGCTGCAAACAAGCCACTGTGAGAATGAATGTGCTGAGCTATGATCCATATTGCGAACAGCGTCTGGGGAATGAATTTCACAATGTCAAAACACGCTCAAATATGAGAAGAACAGCATGTCTCCGCTTTCCCAACCGCAGACAAGCGACAGAAGCAGGAGGTGGTAATGGGAACGTCGGCAGAACCGACAGCAATATCGCGCTGGACCTGAATGCTCAGAGCTTCATCGAACTTGCCCAAGCGCACCAGGCACTCGTGCAGCCCATGTAAACCCCAGACATTATTCAGTCGGGCCTTGCGCCGAGGGAAATCCTTCGCGAGCCCCAGGTCCTCTCGGAATACCTGCTCTGCCTCTTCGATACGGTTCTGCTCCAGCAGCAGCCCACCCAAGGCATGACGCACGGGCTGCATCCATGGCGGCGGGTCCGAATAGGGGAGCGCGTCTTCCAGCTCAATCGCTTTCCGAAGGTGGGCGAACGCGACCTCATAGTTGCCCTTGCGATATTCCAGCTCGCCGCTGAGCATTTCCGAACCGACCTTGAGAACGTCGACCTCTTTACAGGGAATACTGTTCAGTCGGGAAGGCGGGACCTTCGCACGCGCCGCCTCAAACTGTTTCTGGGCCGCCTCTGCGTCTGCGACGCGACCAAGGGCACTGAAGGCGACACCGCGCGCGTACAGTATGTTGGCCGTTGTTGCGCAGTACACGGCGGGGTCCGCGGGAAGCTCCAGGCTTAAGATATCCTCCCAGTGACCAAAGCGTACATACACATGGGCTAAGTTTCCGAGAAAGCTCTCGGTCCAGTCCGCCATCGGAGGGCTAGTGCTTGTTAACACGTTGATATCGATAATCTGTTCGAGCTTCTTCGCAGCCGATAGCGATTCTTCAAATCGGCCCGAGATGAACGCCGCATACAGTTTGGCACATATGTTGTGCACCCGATACGCTACGTACAGAGCTGATCCGCGCTCGCGGTTGAAATACTTGTCATCGGCGATGATGGCTTCCTCGTTGGAGTCGACCGCGCGGCGATAGTCCCCAACCGCCATATCGATATGCGTGGGCATGTGCAACATGTGGGCAGCATCAGGCACCAGGCGACGTAGACGGTCGGCGGCGGGTAATGCTCGCTCTGAGATTGGCGACATTTCCATCAGATGAATGTAGAGATGGCAATGGGCCGGATGATCGCGACCTTCGATGCTCTGCGCCATTGCTGACTCGATCACCTTCTGCGCCTCCACTGTGTGGTCGCCGCTGGGCTCGCCGGTGTCTAAATCCCAGAGTCCTCGGGGGCTGATGCACATGAGCGCTTCGCCGAATAACGCGGACACATCCAGGTCGCTGCTGTAGGCTTGATACACAGGTCGCATTGCTGCCGCATACGCACGGTCCAGCGGCCCCATGTCGGACGGGATCTTGTCTGAGGGTGAGAATCGGGCTGTGAGCGCTTTGATTAACTCTCTTTCCACGGGGGCGGCATCGCTCGCCAGCTCGGTGGCCCGTGCCAACGCATCGTTGGCCTTTTTCATTGTGTGCCGACGGTCTGCCATGTCGAAGAAGTGCCACGCCTTGTTGTAGTTCGGACCGGCCGCATAGGCGATGCCCCAGAATGCCATGGCGCATTTGGGGTCGTGCTCGGTGGCTCGCTCGAAGCAGCGCAGCGCCTCATCATGGTTGAATGAGTAGGCCCAGAGAAATCCGCGGTTAAACCAGAGCTGAGCTTCTGGGGAGGATGTAGTCACGGAACGCCGATGCGACCCGAGGTTATAGTACGCTGTGGATTCCCTACACGCATGTCAGACACGGCTTTCAACACCACAAACTGCGAGATCTCACGGCATCTTGAATTTCGCCAAGGGGAACACCTATGAGAAGTGGGGAAGATGAGAGGCGACGATGACGCTTTATAAAGCGTCGATCGGCTACGGTCGGGCAGCTTCCCCTCACGCCTGGTACGTCTCCGATTGGGCCCTGTAGTCGCCGTTCATTTCGCCGATTTCATCTGCAACTTCCAGGGTTTGTATGCATTCTGATTCCATGTCTCTATGCTGATAGTTATGCGCCTTGTCACAGGATTATACAACAGATAACATTCGATAAAAGAAGAAAAGGAGTGATATGAAGTGGAAGAAAACGAGCGAAAGAAGGAAAAAAAGATGTCCGTCCCTATTGCGCCGTAATGGCTATACCCAACTCCAACTTGATAAAGTCCGTACTGGTGCGATATATAAACCATGTTTAGATCTGGGCACACACGCTCGTACTGCCCATGTACCATCCATGAGGCTCCATGGTGATTTCCTTGGTACCCAAGTTACCGGCTTCATTATTGATTCCCTCAATCACCTGAATATCGGACTTCGTCACCGACACGCCATTGGGCGACGTGATCCAGTATTCCGGCGACGACTGGCTATACTCGGGGACCACAAGCTTCAGTGGCTTGTGCCGAGATAACCGGAAGAGGACCTTGGGCACTTCGTCGCTGGTGTGGGTGATGCGATAGTTCTTGCCGGCAGTGGACTTGGTGATGTACTCGGCGAACGCCTTATTACCGACGGATGGGGCGCCGAAGGAATACTAATCCTTGTTAGTGGTCGTCCTTTTCTTCTCTACGGACGGGGGGATTTACCAAATCAACCGTATGTCCAGCATTCCGCAAGGTCACAGCTCCCAGGGTAGCAAGGGCGCCACCGAGACTGTGTCCCGTCAGAACGATCCGATAGTCCGGGTTCTCTTGCAATGCCTCCTCTACCCTGGGCAGGAGAATGTCCATAGCGCTCTGTGCTGCAGTCCAGAAACCATGGTGTGCTTTGCATCCCGTGCAGGCGGTCGATGCGTCCGTTTGGAGGAAGTCCAAGTCGGCATTGCTGTTTGCATGGGAGACCGTCCCACGGAAGCTCAAGACGATGTATTTGTTCGTGTTGTCCAGAGCGAGGTATCCGGTGGTACCACCTGGCTTGATCCTATCGCATCCCGTACGTTAGGTGACCTTCCTCCTTGTTATGAAAAAGGGAATGCCGGAACTTACTCCTCAAATCCCTCAATGATCTGGGTACTTGATTCGCGGATGGTGTCGCAAAACCCCGAATCGCAATAGACAGCCGACCCAATCGAGGAGGCATTATGGTTCGCTTCGCAATTGGCCGCAGCCGAGAACTGCGAGAAGCGGTTGAAATCCGCCAGAAGAGACGGAGAGATATCTATAGTTGACTCATTAGCATTTCAACCGAGCCTCAGAAAGACAGGAATGGTCGTTACCTCTACGATACAGTCTATTCAGAGTAGCTCTCGGCACCGGATGGGCAAGGGTAGGGCAGATCACCCCTAGAAGAAGAAATAGCAACGCCAACATTTTGTAAAAAGGGGTATCGTGTAGATAATGAACGGACGTCCTGTAGACTGGGTATCTTGATGTCTGGATGAGGATATTTGCTTCACTCTCCAACTATATACTTATATCTATGAGCAGTATGATGGTCATCATCCAGGGGAATTGACCCTTCGGAGTAATCCGAAATCCAATCTCACTCACAGCAGAGGCCGGAAATAAGCAATGATTCCTCACCAACATCCCTAGTTACCACTACTGCCGAGTCATGCTGCAGGGTTTTAGGTCAGAATTTTAGTGCTGACCGGCCTCTGCTCTCATCTCTGCAGCCTGTCTACTTAACCAGTGGCAGGAAAAATCGCCCCCGTCCCTTGCAGATTCAGCAATAGCACCACCCACCTTGCATCGTACCAGACTAAAATCTCACGAGTCAGACTTGTCATTCCATCCTGAGCAACACAGACCACAGGTCAGCATTTAGTGGTCCTACGCGAAAATGAAATACCCTCCGAGTCCCAACATGGTCAATATCAAGGTGACATCGCCCATAGCCGAGTCTCCACCATAGTGGACCTCGGGCTCACCCGAGACCCTAACAACCCGAATAGCCCCCAATGACCCCTAATTCCTGAAGTCAGCACGACAGCTCCAATTCCCAATCGGGGATTTTGTTCTCTGGCTAGTGCTGATTCTGCTGCAGTGCGATATTGTGGTTTATGAGCTACTTTCCTGTAGTATGCGGGATCAGAATGGATCTAGCAGACCTGTACTACTAGTATGTCTACAAGTGCGAGGGGATATACAGAGTGCTATTCAGTGACTTGTGCATACAGAATTGTGTAAATTAAGAATAAATACTATGAACAATGCAATTTAGTCCAGAATCCCAGTTCCAACATGCAAAATGCCATGTCCACAGTCCTATTATCACAAACCCTAACCCAAGAACCCACATAATCCTATAAATACCACCTGACCAGGTCCAAATACCGTATATCCGTACCGCAAATCAAGCCTTGCTCTGATTCCGGAGAACAATATTCATGTACCTGTTCCAACCCCAATTAGCCCCGAATCACGCAAGAAGACAAGACAGAAACTCACATGCTCATGCCCACCAACGCCATAAAGACCCCCAAAATACTCTGTCGCATGATGACATGGCGGCTGGCTGCCCAGCCCAGCCCCACAATAATGCAGGTCTTCAATTGCCCGATGACGGTGCTGCTGACTGGCCCTGCGGCATCGATGATGTAGAACCCGGAGAGATTGACCAGACAGGCGAAAATGCCGCTCTGGTCATGTTAGCAGACGAGTACCGAGATAGGGGTTGGAGTTAGGGATAAGGATAGGGATGCCCACCATCAAGATAAGAATCCAGGTCGACCCTGGCACGGACGAGACTGTCGGAGGCGTCTCGATCCAGGGGATGGTGCAGAGGAGCAGGCCCGCGCTGACAGGGGCTTGGTTGAGCAACAGCTGCATGCTGCTCATCTCGAGTTTCTTGTGGTAGTGGCCGATCCACACGGTGTAGATTGCGCTGGCGCCCACCCCGGAGAATGCGAACAGGATGCCCGAGAGCGAGGTGGTGACTTTGCCGTCCGTCGTGGGGAGGCTGTCGTAGTAGGAGACCATTCCTACACCGATGCACAGGAGGATGAGTGGGAGGATGGCGGCTCGCGGGACCCTGGCCCCGTAGAGCAGGTAGTTAAGTAAGGCGGTTACTGGGGTGAGGAGCAACCGGGCCAGCTGGTGGAACATGACGGAGGAGTGTGCGAGTCCTAGGTTTTGGAGGATCACCTGGACGCCCATGGCTGCGGCGAGGGGGAGCATCTGGACGATTGCTACGCTTTTGGGGACGAAGAAGCCGCACCAGGGGCGCGATGCGGCCCATAGTGTGGCGCCTGTGACGAAGAAATGGTATGCGGCGAAGGATACTTGGCAGTTGCGGAACGAGGGGTCTGAGAGGATGGATTTGTTTGTGAAGACCTGGTGGGATATGTGGGTTAGTGTTTAGATTTGGCAAATTGATATGTATAGGATTGGGCTTACAATGGCAACGGTGGAGAGGATGTTGATCCCAGTCCAGATAATGAAGCTAGGTCCGGGGATCAATCGCTCCGTAGATTCCTCGGAGCCATGATCACTGGCGTATTCGATCTTCTCGTCTGTTTCATATTTCACTGGTGACTTGATCAATAGCCCTGTTTCAGGATCCTCTGGCTTCTCTGATGTGTAGGTCATGCTTGCCTTAGACCTTATGCTAGTGTTCAGGTATACTGATACATGCAGCTTAAAAGGCAGAGGTAAAGGCACGCAATGGATATATAATCAACAATACTGGGGCAGTGCGTGTCAGTCGAAGTTGCAGCGCATACATCACCACTGTCGAGAACCTGGGGCGAGTATGGCTTGGTTATGAATGGGCCGAATGCTACCTCAGGACCGCTACTCTGGTCAGGGGACAATCTCGGTTCCTGTTTTCGCTCATCCAGTAGACCATGGGTTGATGGGTCGTTCACTGTGCGTCAGGGTGCTGGTAGGGATCTCGACTTCGATGACCCGTCTAGATGTATAACTCCATGATAACAGATAGAGCTGGATGAGGTTCGTGTATCATGATGCTGCTGTGAATTGTTTGAATACGACATCTGGTTCTGCTCAATTTTTAACAGCATTTTCTGATCTCTGTATGAGAATTCCAGCAGGCTGGCATTCTTTCGGGGCCGCATTAGGTCTTAGGTGATAATGGAATCCGCATCCGGAAATGTAGTAGCATTGAGCTCCACCTACGCATAGGTACGATACTACGTCGCTGAGATGTTGAACTATGGGTGAGAGGACTACACGCAATCTGTTATTCAATCTGTTCGTCATAAAGTAGGCCGGTGTGGCTACGTTGCAATCTCAGATCAATGGATTTTTCTCAATAGACGCCATATTAATTTCATATAATCAACGAAAACTCCAACTATGAGATAGTGCTAAATAACATTGGTATAGTAGTTCCAAAACTTGCAGGCCGTATATATGATTCTCAAGAAACAAACACTCCTCTTGGATACTGAAGCTCCCCCAGCTTCACCTCAGCCTTCGACCACGGGTCAGGCGACTCTCTCCACTGGGAATACACCGTCTCCTCGCCTGCGACCAGTCGGTGGATATTCAACCTGGTGCTGAAGACCATATTATAAGCCAGTGCCGGATGCCACTCGAATTTCCTGTCTTCCCACTGATCAATATCGGAATCTCGTGAGACATAGCCTTCTGATCTGAACGTCCCAATCAAATTGGGGAAAGGCGCATAGCATCGCAACCGGGGGCGATTACTGCCAGCACACAAATCACTCATAGCGTTGTCCACAGGCAGATTCAGATAATTGATTGAAAGCTCGGCCAGAATCCTTCGGGCACCCTCCAAGGTCACAGCATATCCGAACGTGCAGCAGCCCATGTTGGCCCGATAGATGTACCGTGTGGAGTCGACCGGCCACTCGGGATGCTCCTGTCTCCATTTGACAGACGGTCCCGCTGGAGATTCCCAAGGCCCCCGAATCGTGGTATTTGGGACCGTGGGATCGTTGGGAATAACGTAGAAATCGGTCTCGTTCTGGTGTGCGCCCGATGCGCAGCCCCCAACCCAGAGAATATCCCAGTTCGTACCGTACGGGGCTTTCTTGGACTCGTGCTGGTTGTTAGTCAGGGTGCGTACGCCTCGCGCGAATTCGGCGAGCTGCTGCCGGACTGATACATCCCAGTCGGCATCGTCTTCGAGGATAAGGGCCGTGGTGTAGCGATTTTCGACGATACTATTGATCTGCAGTTAGTATAGTGCGCTAGTCAGATGCTGGTGGTAAGACGTACTCAATAAGGGTATTCATATGAGCGCGCCAACAGCCTATGGCGGCGGGCTTCACACCCGACTCACCCAGTCTCTAACTCAACAATTAGCAAAGACCTTGTGAGAAATGAAGCATACGAACCAATGGATAAGACTTCTCAGCTACGCTGTCCGGGTACACTCCATCTCTCCAGTCGACCTTGATCCCGAGAAAAGAAGCAGCCAAAGTAAGATAGTCACGTTTATCCGTACGCTCTTTCATGCCAATGGCATAGATGTGTTCAAACTATGGAAAGTTAGCACATCAGAAACCGAACGAGCGCAAGCAAACTCACCCCGAGGGTCTCGTTGTTAATACGGTCAAACGTCGTCTCCTCCGTAAGATGATGCTGTCCGGCGCGAATCACATTCCTAGTCGTCGAGTAGTATGCCTCTCGATCCGCTAAGAGGACGCCGAAGATGAAGTAGCTGCAACAAGCTGCAGCTGCGAGCTTGATGATGGTCTTTATGTTCCACCGGTTCATCACGATAGTCATTTCCTCAATAATTGGGACCTGGTACGGCCCAGCAGCGCGACTGTAAGTGTCTGGTGAGTTGTGGTCAAGTCATAGGTGCATGTTACCTTTGGTCGCTGGCGAGGTGGATTTTCTCGCCACCATGCTGTCGGGAATGACCATAACTCCGCCTTCTTGAAACTAAATTAATTTAGTCAGTATTTCCGGGAACGTCAGGAAGCTCAGAGCGTTCATATGGTGTTGAACCTGAGGTTTGCGTCCCTGGTCTCGCGATGTCCGAAAGCGGCAGCGTGTAGATCAATTGCTTAATCCGGTGTTCAGGTGCCTGCTCTCTTAATCTCCCATTGGCCAACAACACCGCCCCTTCCCCTTTCCGGACGTCGGATGCTATTTTGGAACATCCACTTACCCTACGCGGAATAGCGCAATATTTCTTTCCTTCTATTCAGCTTCCAGTATTGCAGAGTCCGTGAAGTAGGGTTGATATTAAATGGCCGACTATTATAAGACTGACAGATCTAATTAGGCCTCAATGAGCAGCACCACAGCCTCATATGGACGAAGAGACCACTTGGAGCCAGAAAACCTGTCCTTCGCATCGCTTGCGCTGTCGTATGTGTTTAACAACACTTCCTTTACTCCCTTCACACCATTCGAAAAAGAATCCCACTCCAATGTGCCGTCAGTCCAGTTGGCCAACACCAGCGCCTTCTGGTCTTCATACTGGCGGGTATACGCGAAGATCTCCTGGCTATCCCGGTCGACCAGCTCGTAGTTTCCATATACAAAGATGTCCACGTATTTCTTGCGGAGCCCGAGCACTGACGCCCAGTAGCTGTAGGTTGAGTTGGGGTCGTTGACCTGGGCCTCGGCGTTGATGCCGCGAGCGTAGTTCGGGTTGACAGACATCCAGGGCTTGACGTTGGGGCCGGTGAATCCGCCGTTTGGTGCATCAGCCATTGGACTGGGGTACGACCGTTGTCGCGGGACTTCTTCTGGTATTCCTGTCGGGCAATCTTCTGAATTTCAGGGTCGTTTGGTAGCCTGTACAAGATTAAGGTTAGTGTGCGGTCTCCAGACATTAAAAAGGGAGCGGAAATAGAATGCTTACCTCTTCCAGTGGTTGAGGCAGTCGATATCCTTGTACTCTTCAATGTCCCATTCGAGAGGCACGTTCCCCATGCCAATCTCCTGGCCCTGGTATACAAACGGAGACCCAGCTTTCAATGCCAAAATCGTGGCCAGCATCTTGGATGCAATAACTCGGTCTTCTTCCTTTGCATTGGTGTACCGATCGACCGACCGCGGCTGGTCGTGGTTCTCCCAGTACAGGGCGTTCCAGCCATCATTCTCATACATGAACTTCTGCCACCTCTCAAAGAAAGATTTCAAGTCGGTGAGCTTCCAACTACCTGGCTCAAATTTATCGTATGTACCATGGTCAATGTCGACATGCTCAAAGTTGAAGATCATATTGAGCTCATTCCGGTCATACTGCACCGCTCGAAGCACCTCTTGCGTATCCTTCACGAAGGGCATCTCACCCACACTGAACGTATCATACTCCTTCAGAATCTTGCCAAGCTCCTGGAAGTATTCGTGCAACCGAGGCCCATTGGCATAGTACTTGTCACCCCATTGCCAAGGGGTACGGGGGTCGTGGATTGGGGCATCCGGGAAACGCTGGTCCTTGCTGATGAAGTTGATCACGTCCATGCGGAACCCGTTGGCGCCCTTGTCCAGCCAAAAGCGCATAATATCGTGGACGGCCTTGCGAACCGGCGGATGCTCCCAGTTGAGATCTGGCTGCTCTGTGGCGTACAGATGCAGATAGTATTCCTGTGTATGCTCATCCCACTCCCATGCGCTCCCTGCGATCGCAATCAGCCCCAGCAACCTTAAAATATCTACAATACATTAATGGGACCAGCTTACCCTGGAAATGCGACACCCAGTTGTTCGGCGGCTGGCGGTTTCCCTGCTCGTCATACCTGGCCGGCCGCCAGATGTACCAATTCCGATACTCGTTATCCTTGGAGCTACGCGACTGCTTGAACCACTCATGCTGGTCACTGGTGTGGTTCACGACTAGGTCCATGAGGAGCTTCATGCCGCGTTCATGGCAGCCCTTGATCAAGTTTTCCACATCTGCGACCGTGCCGTATTCATCGGCGATGTCGTAGTAATCAGCGATATCGTAGCCCATGTCCACCTGGGGCGACTTATACGAGGGACAGAGCCAGACAATATCAATGCCGAGGTTCTTGATGTAGTCGAGCTTAGAAATGATCCCGGGAATATCGCCGATACCATCATCGTTGGAGTCCTTGAACGAGCAGGGCCAGATCTGATATACGGAGCTTTCCTTCCACCAGGCGCGGTGGATCTGGGCGGCGGGTTTGGCCATCGTGTGTGTGCGTCTAGACAGTGTGCACTTTTCCTAGAGGAAATTGGATTTAAAGGGGAAGGAGGGAGGCTTCAGTTTATCTAGTATATGTTTTGTTGTTGTTGTTGGGAGGGGCAGCTTGTTTGTTATCCGATAACATCCACCGCGGGGCAGCTGCTCTATCGAGCGGAGAAATTATCGGTGGATGCGCTGCGGGCCTATTGACTTGCTTTCAGGACTATAGCTCGCCAGGGGGAACTTATGAATTGGGGGTCTAACCAGGTTCCAACAGCCAGTGAGACTTGGTAGGGCTCTGGTTCCACCTGGGCGTTGATCGAATGATGATACGACACGGAGAGCTTTCGGCGGATCCTTGTCGATCAATCAGTTCTGCTACTCACGCAGTACAATACTCACTTGTGTTTGAAATTATGCTGAATTTATTCTATTCATTATTTATATCAAAATGAGTAAGAGAAATCAGAATTAAGTGTTACAACTCCAGTCTCCGACGATAGCCGTATATGATCCAACAGTGACCTGATAAAGTAGAATACTCAACCATCTAGCGATGAATAGTTACATCCTGTTCATAGGCCGAAGAATACCCTGGACATCGGCGAATTTCAGTTCGGCCATCGTTTCGTCCCATAGCCTTTCAATGGCCTGTCTCCCTTCCGGCGTATAGAGGACAGTAGCAAATCTGGTAAACATATATTAGCGAGAGGTGACGTGGAAGATGCGGTCAGTATACTTACGGTCGAATCTGCCAGTCCATCAAAAAACAGCCGTGGGACTCCTTGCCCTTCACCACCGTAGCGTCCACATATGTAGAAGCCCCATCCCTGACAGTGCGAGCAGTGGCCGCTTTCGCAAGGGACATGACCATTGACAGAACACTAGAAACATCACGGTGGAGCTGGGTACCCTTGGTAAAACCCGGGTCCACCAAGTTCACCACCACGTCGTCCGCGGATACGTAGTCGGCGAGCTTCCACATGAACATGTGCCCGAGGAGTTTGGATGCGCTGTATTGCTCGGTCCAGTCGAAGTTCTTCGGATCGTCGTACGAGGGCAGGAGTGGAGAGAACTTTCTGTGGGAGAATGTTGCCATCAGAGCGGTGCCCGAATTGACGATGCTAAGTCGGCCAGGCGTACCAGCTGGTGCTTTGTTCTTGAGCACAGGGAGGAGGAGAATGCAAAGGAGTACCGTCGATAGGTAATTCACTTGGATGACCTCCTCATGGCCGGTGCTTGGAGCCACCCCAAAATGCATTTTCCCCAGTCCGGCATTGAGAATGACTATGTCAAGACGAGATAGCTGACTTTCGGCACGGCGAGCAAAGGCCCGAATAGAATCGTATGAGCTCATGTCGAGATCCCAGACTTTGATGGAGGCCATAGGATACTCCTTTCGGAGTATAACTGCTGCTGCCTCGCCTTTTGCTACTGAGCGAACGGCAATGATTAAATGGGAGATATTGTATGATAGGAGTTGGCGAGCGCTTTCCAAACCCAAGCCGGTATTGGCTCCTGTCACGATGGCAACTTTACCATTAAGAGTGGTACCTTTCGGCGGCCATTGGGGCTTCGTGCACAGCTGAGACTTGAGATAGATCTTTGGGTAGTATGGAGTGGTACAGGGTGGCAGGTCTCTTGAAGCGGCCATTGTGAAGTAGTACCGTATCTAGTAGTGTTTTTGCGACTCGTGGAATTGAGGTATGTCTCGGAGATTCTGGAATTTCGGGATTGTAACAATCTTGAAGACTTTATATATGCTTATTCCGTGGACATCGCCTCTAAATGCGATATACTCCTTTCTCCCAAATGGGTTAGTGGCCCTGCTGATAGCAGGAACAGCCAATAGGATACGGCTAGAATCCATCCGCTATTCCCGAATAGGATAACAATCGTTCAGCCAATCGGCGGCCGTTGGGTCAATCGTCAGCCCCAAGAGGCGCTTCAAAGATGGCTGTAAGCGGACTTAACTTACTTCCAGACTGTATCCTTAAATAGGCGATTGATTCACGAAGGAAAGGCACAAGGCATATTCCAGCTTGACTCATTCTCTCATGTCTTCTCATGTTGCCTCTTGCTTAGACATATCTTTGAAAGGTGGATCAGTTATCTCCGTCATTCATTAACTCATAGTTTCATTTACCTTAGTGGGAATACTCTCACTATTCGGGAAGTGATGCTACCGATAATCATATCAACTGGAACGGCGAAGGCAGACGCCGATACACGCAAGCTTATCAGAAGCCATGTCATGCTGGGAAAGAACCGTGGCAAATACCGACGTTCGGGGCGCGTTGATCGAGCGGAGTTAGAACACGACGAGACTTGCAACGAAAAACATAGAACATTGCGGAAGCAGTCTCGCCCATTAACCAAGAGGCCACCTTCCATCATCCCGCAAACGGTTGGCTCGGAAGTCTCCCTGCTACAGTTCGCTGACACAGTGGAACCGGCGTTGGCTGTGGACATCGTAAGATGTAAGTCAAGGCTGCAGGTACAGTAAAGCCCTACTGAGTGTATCCTTACCGACGGGAATACAGTTTCGGCTATGTCGAAGAGAACCTTATTCACGCTGGAGAGATACCTTTCCTTCCAGAAGAAAAATGACCAGTGGCACGATCTGTTGATAGTGGATCCTGTTTATCTCCATGGTATGGCTTTCATAACGCAGGATTTCTTCGACGGACTGTCCGGTTGGCAATCTGAAGCCAACAAGCCGGCCTCATTACACTTCTTGAAAACACTTCAACTCCTCCGCGAGAGGCTGGCCCTTCCAGACGAACAGGCTAAAACGTCGGATGCTACGATAATGGTGGTTCTGTTTCTCACAACACATGCACATGTCAAGGAGGATCTGGACTCTGCCAAGCACCACCTCAGGGGCCTTCGTAAAATCGTGGATCTAAGAGGTGGCATGGCCAACTTGACCTACGATGTGAATCTGAAGACCGAAATATACCGGTGAGCGAGTCGACCAACATGAACAACTAAGAAGCAAACCCTCTAACCGTGAAATAGGTCTGACTTATCAATCGCCCTTCAAGGGTGCACAAGGCCTCTCTTCTTCGACGACCATTTACTACATTCGATGCTGACAGCACCAACTATGGGTAAGCACGCCAACGAACAATTCCTCGAAAATATAGACGATGATCTAGCCCGAACATGGAGTATAATGAAGCGATTTTGTGTCCTCGTAAATGAGGCCATCAGCGCGCAACAAAGACTGTCTATGGATTTCTTCATGGAGACAATGACTTCAGTGATGTACCGCCTGCTCCATATCAAGTTTGAAACCGGCTCGATTGCTGAAGCCATCCGCCTCGGGCTTCTGGCCTTCTCCTCCCATGTCTTCTTGCAGTGGCAAGATATCCGACGGCAGTATATCCAATTCTCTACTACTTTTAAAGAGAGTCTTATGTCTCTCAAGGATTTAGATGGCGTATCATCTCATATTGTACTTTGGCTTTTGATCGTCGGTGGTATCTCAGTCTTTAGTACTGCTGACGATGCGTGGCTCAAGCCTTGGCTGCGGGCTAATAGCCAACTATGCAAGGTAAACTCATGGCCAGCGATGAGAGATGTCTTGGAGTCATTTATGTGGATTGGTGTGATACACGACAAGTCTGGAAAGGATTTGTTCGAATCTGCATTGTTGCAACCATCTCCCGAAGTGTACCTGCCCAGTGTATGAATGATTTCGTTTAGCTATTAGAGGTCATATCACAGTTATATACCAGTCCCATATTCCGCAAATCTATGCACATATTGACAAATGATACTCCCCCGGGATAGGTAAATGTAGCTTAACCTTGTAATGCGAGTTGTGTCACTCTGTTTATTTGGTACTTTCTTAGTGTGTCAAGATGTAGCCAAGTTTACCATTAAAGTTCTAGCAATCGAGCCCTGACTATGTTGATATCCAAAAGTATATACCTGCGGTCCCACTTTACCCCACAGCAGCGATAAGGCCTCAACCGCCTCAGGCCGTCAATCCAGGCAATCCCCCTCACTTCAGCGATTCCTCCGATATCAACACCGACCAAACCTCCATAAACCACCTCCATCTCCAAAGCTCTCCTCAAAACAGGGCCCGCACGACCTACCCTCCCTCACAAGGCGACACAACCACCCACAACTCCCCAAGAACACATCTATGACGTAACCCGCCTCAAAAACACCCAGCAATAGCTCTCCGACACATACACACACACACAGACAAAGCTTCAATCCACTCTCCAAAATGGCTTCCGAAGAACCAACAGCAACACCCGCACACCTCGATCCCCAAACCTACCCACGCCACCTCACCGACGAAGCGCAGAACATCCACCTCGAACTCACCTACGCGCCCCTCAACCCGCAAGCGGCGCTGGACAAAATCTCCTCCCCTGCGGCCGGCGCAAACGTCCTCTTCCTCGGCACGACGCGAAATACATTCGAGGACCGCCCCGTCGCACAGCTGAGTTACACGGCGTACCCGCCCCTGACGTTCAAGACGCTAGCGGGGATCGCGCGGGACGCGGTCGCGAAACATGGGCTGACGGGGATTGTCATTGCGCATCGGTTGGGGGTTGTGCCGATTCGCGAGGCGAGTATTGTGATTGCGGTGAGTTCGGGGCATCGGCGGGCGGCGTGGAGGGCCGGGGAGGAGGTGTTGGAGATTTGTAAGGAGAAGGCGGAGATTTGGAAGAGGGAGGAGTTTGTGGATGGGGGGATGGAGTGGAGGGAGAATCGGGAGAGGGATGGGGATGGGAAGGTGGTTGTTGGGAAGTGAGGTTTTGTGCGGGTTGGTGGTTATATATATGGTGAGTTGGTGGTGATGAGAGATATGGGTGTTAAGTGTCCGTGTGCTGATCGGCTCTAGAGGGTATATTTTCACGATTTACGGACGGTTGTAAAATGCTACTTGCTATCGACACGTATCTGAGTAGGGTATTTCTATTGTACATACTTTTCCACGCTATTCGTACACTCTAGTCCTTCCTCAATGGCTTGCCTTCGCGCTTCCAGTCGTTGATGTGCTCCAGGATGACCTTGGTGGCCGAGTCGGGGGTGTCCTGGCGGCCAATGCATTCGACGAAGTCGCCCTCGGGGTCTGTACGGCGGAATTAGCTCTCGGACGGTATACTATACAGACGATGTCACTCACCCATCAGGTAGAAATAGATACTGTGGTCCACCAGATAGTCCTCGCCCGGGTTCACGTTCTGCGGTGTGCTAAAGTACACCCGGTACTGCTTGCACATGTTCTTCACCTGCTCGTAGGTGCCCGTCAAGCCGATGATATCCCCGTGGAACTCTTGGAGATACGAGCGCAGCACTTCGGGGGTATCGCGAGCAGGGTCGCAAGTAACGAAGACCGGCAAGAAGATGTTTTCGCCCTTGGTAGCCTCCTTCACCTTGTCAATAATCTCGGCCATCTTGTCCAATTCGTCCGGGCAGATATCAGGGCAATGCGTGAAGCCGAAGTAAACCTAGCAGACCGTTATTAGCAACGTAATGGGCATATACAGCTTTGTTCCAAGATTATTGAAGAACTTACAAAGCTGTACTTCCCCTTCAGATCCTCTTCGGTAACCTGTTTGCCGTCCAAGTCCTTCAACACGAATGGGCCTCCAACCTTCGGCCGGCCAACTCCCTTGCTCATCTCTGCGATGCGCTTCCGCGCCAACCGTTCCTTTTCCACCCGGAAATACACGATCATGGCCGCACCGGTAATGACGAAGAGCAGCGCGGACTTCCACGAGAACGGACCGGTGGAGTTCCGGGCCTTCAGCTGACCCATTGTGCGTGCCCGAGCGCGGAAGGTGGTCGTGCTGAAGGAGCGCTGAGAGGCGAGGCCATTGTGTCTGAGGGTCTGAGTGTATGCGGAGTGGGTTGGTTTTGTTCGCAGAGGAACGAAAGCGTTTTGCGACGGGATTGATCGGAGGGTGCTGCGTTCGAGGGAGGGAATACTGGAGCGCGAGGCTCGTCCGATCATTTGGACGAGAGGTCTCATTGTCGATGCCATTGGTGTCGAAGGTAGGACTGGGCCGGGTTTGAGAGGACGAGAGAATGACACTGATCGTGATGGTTCGAGATCTCCGGCCGGAATCCGCTTTAGCGCTGTGGCCTGAGGTGTCGGCAAATAATGTAGTCACGTGGTTCCCTTGTAGCCTTGGGCAGCAACTCATGTCCCTGGGCTTGAGCGTTTGTGCTTGCATTCGTTCCGGGTTGATCGTTCTTATGCATAGCTAATGTACACGGCAGGAAGTGCACATACATGTCGAGATGTCTAGAATGAAGCATGGCCAGTAGTTGAAAACATCTGTCCCAAACAACCTCCATCGAATCGCCCACCTACATACTACAGGGCATGTCTATCGAGACCTTCTGCATCTGCCAACGTGGTCGGGTGCAATGGAAATTTGCATAAACCAAGACTCTCACAGAATTGGCAAGTTCGAGCCACGTTGTCATGGATTAATAACCGTTAACCCATCGATCCGCATCTTCCGCGAGTAACCATGGCTACACCACCGTCATCGCGACGTTAGTCTTACGAGAATTCTAGACAGTCCTTTGCCACCCCCACAATTCCAGATCTGGGGAGCTTTGAATTTTCATTAGAATGGATTGTTCGACTGCGGGGTCTTTCCTTGATGCCTGCCTGGGTCCACCGTCGCTTTCCGTAACGTTCATAAACTGCTCAACTCCACGCTTAAAAACCAAAACAAGAAAGAGATCCATCGGCTAGACATAGTAGATGCGCCCTATTGGATGAATCAATGCCAAATGGCCAAAAAGCTCTCACGCTTTGCTGAACTGAACAGGACACCCATAATTGTGTCAATCCCTGACTCTTGGGCTGACCTACACTGCATATTCCGGGCTCATATCGAGCTCTTCAAAGAAGGGCTTTTTACACATTGGGCATTGATTATGGAATCCCAAGAACCAATTCTCCAGGCACTCTCGGTGAAACACGTGGCGGCATTGAAGGGTGTGGATCGGGTCCTTCTTGCGGACCTTGTCAAGACAAATAGAACTAATCGACATATCAGTACCCCATCTGATATCAGGTGGCCCTAGCCGACGAGAACTGATTGAGAGTAGTCCTACCAGGTGAATATATGATCCGATTGCTTCAACGGGGATCGTATCGTTTGGACAGACAACCACCAGATTTTGAAGGGCTTGGTGGGGGCAACTCTTTCCAGACAGTCTAATCTTCTTTCCATGCTGTCCTGGGCCGGTACATTGGCTATTGCGGGATCAGTAGTTCCAAAGGCTAGACTCGAATATGCGAGACAGTAAGATCTCAGTAGTAACCTGTTCTCACAGTCAGGTTTGACATATCAGACGCAGGAAGACAACAGTATATCCAAGAGCAAGGACGAACAGCTGCCTTACCATATAGCAGTCACAACGTATACGGTTAAACACACTACCAGCAATACTTGGAAAGCTAAGCCGTCGTTATTTGTATTTGTATCCTTCTCCGACGTTGAGTCCATCTTCCAATCCGGCATATTCAAGATGAGACTTAAGTAATGGGTCGATATCTTGTGGATCCTCTATAATTAGACTAGAGGAATGTTGTTCAAAGAATCAGCTGTTTTATAGCGGATTGTCAGCTAACCTCCGGGGATGTTGTGTCATTGGAAAAGGGAAGATCCTCAACCATGGAACCAGGTCGTGAGCCTGCCCCATCGAGTCAGAGGTGTTCCCAACCACGTCAAGCCGTGTGTATCTTCGAGAAGACTGTGTTACACTATCTTGCCATAGAGAAAAAGTCCTCATGCGATGTTTTGTTTGTGAGGTGTGTGAGCTGAGCACGGATCGCTTTAGGGAGATTGAACGTTCGCCCAGCGGATCGCATTCGTATGGATCGCCCTCTGGCTGCATATGTAACGTGACCTTCGATGGTTTGAACCTTCTCTTTGATGCTCCATAAAAGAACGGGAATCTTGATTGTTTTTGACTGCGATCGAGGAAGGAAGGTACCAATCTATCATATGATCTTTCGGAGTAGCGAAAATTGGTATAAAGAGAAGGACCTAGCCAATATCGGTAATTCCGATGTCACCAACTTTCATCGGAGCTACATAAAGGCTCGTCAGACGACTTCCTGTCTGATTAGGAACTGATCAGAATATACGTCGAGGAATGCTCGAGGCGCATTTCGCCACATGCCTTTGGCTTGAACTGCTGACCGAAATATCCTGGAATTAGTACAATATGCCATTTCTGTCGTACGCCCATATACTTGAACTCCAGCAACAGCTGGAAGGCACCCGGGCTCGGGTGATATGCGCTGGCTCCGAAGAGTATGCTGAGAGCATCAAGCGATGGAGTGATACGTGCGAGAAAGAAGCTGTGCGTATAACTTTGACTCTTACCGGGGCATACCAGAGACCTCACAACTGATAATGCTCTACTCTCCTGCAAAGCCGTTGCTCAGTATCCACGGAACATCCCTTTAACAGTACCACAGGGCGCAGTAGTCAAAGTCACGTCCACATCCGAAGTCTCTGAAGTGATTAGGTTCGCCCGAAAGCATCGTATCTCTTTCGCGGTAGAAGCCGGGGGACATTCCACCACCGGGTCCTCGGCATCTCATGGAGGCATTGTCATCAGCCTGTCTCAGATGCGGAAAGTCCTCACAGACCCCGCTTCAAAGACAGTTTGTGTCCAAGGTGGTGCCACCTGGCAGGATGTCAACAGTTCCACGGCTCCCTAC